GGGGCGAGCACTGTTTCCTCTTCCATTTATGCCATTCCTCAGCAAAGTGGGAGGAGCAAGGCATCAGATTCTTTTTAAAAAAATATATTTTATTGATTTTTTTACAGAGAGGAAGGGAAAGGGATAGAGAGTAAGAAACATCGATGAAAGAAAAACATTGATCAGTTGCCTCCTGCACACCTCTTACTGGGGATGTGCCCGCAACCAAGGTACATGCCCTTGACTGGAATCAAACCTGGGACCCTTCAGTCCACAGGCCGATGCTCTATCCACTGAGCCAAACCGGTTAGGGCCAGATTCTTGAATCTAATTTCTATTCCAAGGCCGCTTTTTGTTTTAATTGCAAGGTTGTTTTGAGTATGTCATTTTCAATCCAAAGTGTTTACTGCTCAAGAGAAAAATCAATAAAACTTTGGGGAAACATTTGACCATTCAGCACCTCTTTCTGGGAATAAAAATATAGAACAGCGTAAGGCAGTGATTTGTGTGTGCCACAAGGGTTTTTAAAACATGCAAATACCTAACTATTAGTCAGGGCACTGACCTCTTTTCCCTTAGATTGTCAAAGAAAAAAAGAAAAAAAGACAGCAGCCAACACAACAATAGCCATCCAGTGTGAATGAATCCAAATTATACCTATTTTTTTTTTGTCAGATTGGCAAAAAATAGAAATATTTTTTGGTGTGCCACAGAACTTTACTAATTAGTTTATGTGTGCCACGAGATGAAAAAGCTGGAAAAGACTGGTGTAAGGAATTTCCCCCCTTGTTATTGGCCATCAATTTTTTTCCTTTGAAAAATATATCTGTAGTTCAGTTGATTCATTTGTTGAAATTAAAGATAAGGCCTGGCATCCCCTTTCCCTCCCACCTGTTGTTACTTGTCATCTAAGACGATGTCTGTTCCAGGAGCAGAAGTCACAGATGTAGGTGAGATACCGCGCACTGCTTTCCACTGGAAGCTTAACTTCGTGACTGAGTCAGAACAGCTCAACTGGAGCTTTGGGAATGATTGGAGTTGGGTTGTATGCTGCTTATCTGGATCTAAGCTACCAAGCTGTTATTTAATTATTTTTTAAAAACTGTATTTTATTGAGTTTTTACAGAGAGGAAGGGAGAGGGATAGAGAGTTAGAAACATCGATGAGAGAGAAACATCGATCAGCTGCCTCCTGCACATCCCCTGCTAGGGATATGCCCGCAACCAAGGCACATGCCCTTGATCGGAATCAAACCTGGGACCCTTCAGTCCGCAGGCCAACGCTCTATCCACTGAGCCAAACTGGTTAGGGCCCAAGTTGTCATTTTAAAGGTGAAACTGTCACAATTAGAGTGACAGCATTGACAGATGAGGGTTCCTGGGGACGAGGAAAGCAGCAGAGGATGCTCTTCACACAAACCTAGCCTTTCACCCCAACCCCAAGGAAGGCTTGAACTTCTGATACTTGCTTCACCCCTGTGGGTTCCGGACACGTAACCTTGGGCAATGACTCAAATCTCAATCCTTGAAGGCCCGCAGAGGGTTAGAAGGATTATCAGCCACGCGTACCTGCCTTAGGCCTTGGAGAGGTTCAGGATGGGGAGTGTTTTTGAGGGAGAGGAGAAAGCTAGGAGGGGAGCCCAGTGTAAGAGGCACGGTCTCCTCGGGGAGCAGCCTGATGACTTTCATGCGAAGGCTGACTTTCTAGTTCCTGTGGTTTGTCTAGGAAGTTACACTGTGGGCCTCTCACCACCAGCAGACGGAGGGAGAGAAGGAGTCAGTGGGCGAGGCACCCGAGGCCAGTAGTCACATGGCCTGCGCAGAGCAAGCACTCACTTAGTGTACATTATTACGGTAATTATTAACAAAGCTGCAGAAATACAGAGCCACGTGTTCCTGTTTCCAGGAAGCTCTGCATCTGGGGGCTTTTGCTCACATTTTCTTTTCACCCTTATGATTTTGAACAAGTTGGGGACGTGTTAGGTCTTTACTTGAAATATTCAGGCACCAGGAGTGACAGGTTCCTGGGAAGAGACATTTGCATTGAACTTTAAAATATATATATATATTTTATTGATTCTTTTACAGAGAGGAAGGGAGAGGGATAGAGAGTTAGAAACATCGATGAGCGAGAAACATCGATCAGTTGCCTCCTGCATGCCCCCTACTGGGGATGTGCCCGCAACCAAGGTACATGCCCTTGACTGGAATCGAACCTGGGACCCCTTCAGTCCACAGGCCGACGCTCTATCCACTGAGCAGAACCGGTTAGGGCTGAACTTCTTTTTAGAAAGAGTAACGGATGCTCCTCGGTGCCCAGGCTACTTAGCACCTTCTGTGGTCCTTGCTACCGTTTGCTGAGTGTGAGCTCCATGCCCGGGCACCTTCACGCCAGCTTTGGATTGAGCTCTTGGAATTAGATAGTCGCACCTATTAACATGCGTAGGGCAAGGGCTGGGAGGGTGAGCTGTCTTGCCCCAGCTCACACCGGTAGTGAGGGGCAGAGATGGAATTTAAACCTGGACTGGTCTTTCTCTACATGCACTTGGCCACTCCCTGGCCCCTGCCCAAGGGTCTCATTTGTGCTGAGAGGCAGGTCAGAGGGGCCTGTGTGGGGAGATGGAGGATTTGTTCCCTGGGTTCCTGTTCTGTGCCCTGTTGACCCAGACCCTCCCCACCCCCAGGTCCTTTTATCTCAGAAAAGAGTGGCCTTATGACCCGCTGAGACCAAGGGTGGGACACATCACACCCTTTCTGCCCAACTCTGAGTCCTTTTCTAAAAACTGTGTCTGGAGAGCTACAATAATCTCTCCAGAAATATTCATTTGTTCAACAAGTCACTATATGTTGGTTTTAAGAAGGGCAGAGATTGGGGGTGGAGGAGGAGCGCCCTGCATGGAGGGTGGGGAAAGGAAATGGGGCTCAGACTTGGGAAAGCACCTCCTCAGCTTGGCTCCACGTCACCCCGCTTTCCCACGCAGCTCCTCCCTCCTGCAGTCAGCATCCCGTGCTCCCCTAACTTCTCGGACTGAGCACCTTCTCACCAAGTGCCCCCCTCACCGCGGAGTCCACAGCGCCAGTGCTCACACCCACCCTTGCGCCCACCTGCTGCCCCTGCACACTGCTTCCTCGGCTTCCTGCGGGCAGCGGTGCTGCTGGGAGGCCTGAGGGCATCGGTCCTCTGTCCTTCCGTGTGACCTATTTTCCTTCTGAAAGCTTCCCCGTCTCCCTTCATCCGATGTTCTGAGGCCCCTCCAGTGATGCGGCAAAGCTGGCTCCTTGTTAACTGAAGAAATGTCTTGCAGATCCCAGGGCTGATTTAAACGTTTAATAATATAATATTTAAACATATCCCACTTAAAACCAAGTATAAACTCCTTCTGCTGATGGTTCTTCCAATTATAAAATCAAATCAAAATTGCAAATCAAATGTAAATAGCCAGCCAGTGGCACTCAGCTGTACAACATGAGTTCACTGTGGTGGCGGGTGTCACGTGTGTGGGTTGGGAATTAGGTGCAGACTGCTGCCGCTCAGCGTCCTTAAAGCGACATCTCTGGCTTCGCTTGGTGTAAATAAGTCATTTAAGTATTAAACCTACCCTTTGGCCCTTTTCTCAGTCGCCCATGACAACGTAATTCTGCTCGATGCCAATGTGTACACACAGAGCCAACTTGGCTAGCGGACGGCCATCCAGACGATTCTTAGAATAAATAGGCTTGCTTATAGAATGTTGTTTGGATTGTCATAAAGTGAAACCATGATGTGTAAGTATTTTCACAGGCACTCACCCAACCCCCAGGCTGCAGGCTGCCTCCGCTCTCCAGCGTCTTCCTGTGTGGGTTTCCCTGCAGGCCTAGAGCAAGGGGCCCTCGGAGGTGGTGGCTGTCATAACAGGTTGTCTCCACCCCCGGCCCCGCTGCCCATGAGTCTCCCTCAGCTGCCAGTGTTCGTAGGGCTGCCATCCCAGGGCACTTCACACCCCCATTTTGAGGCGGAGACTGTGCTGTGAGCCACTGTCACCTTCGGCAAGCTGTTAAGCTGGTTGTCATGGAGCTTGAAAACCATAATCCATTTTCAAGCTGTTTTAGCTTGAGCAGTCCTGCCCCCTTCACTGTGGAGAGAGGTGAGCGTGTCTATTTTTTAAAAGCTGACACTCCACTTGACAGGCTTCATGGTGTAGCTCATTAGAAGTGTGTGTGCATGTGGGTATGCGTTGAGTGTGTGTGTGCTGTGTGCATGTGATTGTGCGTGTGTGTATTGAGTATGTGTGCATGTGAGTGTGTGTGGTGGTGTGCATGTGAATGTGTGTATGTGGTATGTGTATGTGGTATGTGCATGTGAATGTGTGTGTGCGGTATGTGAATGTGTGTGAGTGTATGTGTGTGTGTGTGGTGGTATGCATGTGAATGTGTGTGTGTGGTATGTGTGTGTGGTGTGTGCATGTGAATGTGTGTGGTATGTGAATGTGTGTGAGTATGTGTGTGTGTGGTGTGTGCATATGAATGTGTGTGTGTGCTGTGTGCATGTGAATGTGTGTGGTGTGTGCATGTGAATGTGTGTATGTGAGTGTATGTGCATGCAAGTGTGTGTGTGGTATGTGGCATGTGCTGTCACCCAGGCTGACTGTTTCGGGGACCTGCCTCAGTTGCATTACTGCAGCCTGGCGCCTGAGCCTGTGGGGAGCTCCTGGCTGTTGCAGGCCTGGCTGCAGGCCAAGGGTTCTGCCGGCAGGGCTGTGCCTCTGTCACTCAGCATGGCAGCGTGCCCCTGGGTGTGTCAGTTGGGCAGCTGGCCCAGCTGCAGGGCCTGGGTGAAGGGAGGAGGGGAGGAGGCTGCTGAGAGGCACTTCGCTCATCGGTCATGGGGCAGGCACTGGAAATGGCTTAACGCAGAACTGCTTGTTGGTTTGTGAAATGTCCTCAGGGTCCCAGTGTGGTCCTATGATGGCGTCTTCTCCAAAACCTCTCAGCTCAAAACTGGGATCTTCTCTACTTTGTCCTTCTCCCTCGTCCACCATCCAGGTCATCTCCAGATTCCACCTGCTTTGCCCTCCCTGCTTATCAGTGTTTGAAATCTTCATTCTCACCACAACCTGCATTCAAGCCCTGTTACTCTCCCTGAGGCGGGTGATAAGCGATAAGTGAAGTGCCTCTCAGCGGCCTGCTCACCTCCTCCCTTCGCCCGGGCCCTGCTGCTGGCCAGCTGCCCTCCTGGCATTTCCCACCCTCGCTCTGGAGCCCTCAGTGGCTCTGGTCTTACAGGATGAGGGGAAACTGTCAGGCTGACGGACTTTGTTTGTCTTTCACAACATTTTAAGGAGTTATTAACCAACTTAAAAGAAATCAAGATATTTTTACACTAAAGATCTGTATTTTCAACTTTTCCTGAAAACTTGGAGGATCTCACAGCCCTGAGTGCAATAGGCAGGAATGGAGTGTTCTTTTTGCTGTCTTCTCCTGGGACTCGTTTTCATGTTTGCCACACTCCCCACTACTCCTTATAGAGCCCCTATCTGCCTCAGCGCTCATCTCTGTTTCCTGAGTAGCCTCTTTTAATATCTGCTATCCGACTCAAGAAAAGGGCCTTTCTGCATGA